AGAAAGAAAGAAAAAGTGATTCAGCAATTTTCAACCACAGAAAAGATGACAAAAAAAATATGGATCATGGTACCTGGTTCTGCGTCCGCCCAACCACTGACCCTCCGCCCCACCATGTCCCAGGGTGAGCCAACTCAGTTCATGTCCTCTCACCACCCTCTGCCCACTACAAGCTCATTCTGTCTCACTCTCAAGAAACTGCCCAGGGAATGTGGCTCACTGAAAATCCTAAGTTTCTCTTTTTCTCATGTCTTCTCGGAGTCTGTGGCACTATACAAGACAAGACCGCCTCCTCAAAGCCTCACTGCACTCTCCTGTCTCCCTGGCTTCTTTCCAGATTGGTTTGAAGCATCTCTTCCTCTTTGGGAAGAACTGCTTCGGAAGGCAGGCGCACATACCCACATGCTTTCTTTTTTCTTTAATATTTTATTTATTATTTTTATTTAATATGTATGAGTGTACTGCCTGCATGTATGTAAGTGCACCCGTGTCATGCGATGCCCTCAGAGGTCAGAAAAGGGTGTTGGATCCTCTGGAACTGGAGTTATAGATGGCTGTTAGCTTCCATGTGGGTGCTGGGAATCGAACCCAGGTCCTCTGCAAGAGCAGCCAGTGCTCTTAACCACTGAGCCATCTCTCCAGCTCCAACATGCTTTCTTAAGATTCTACATTCACAAAATCACATCTCTCCTGGATCCCCTGCAATTGTCCCCTCCTTCTGCACATGACACCCTAGAAAGAGCATGACCATGTCTACGTTCAGTTTTAACATCAACGTCTAGTGCTCCATAACGCTGCTGAAAGAACAAAGGAAGTGAGAATGGCTTCTTCAAAACGGGAACTGCAGGTCTATCTCTGCTCTTGTAATGGAAAGTGTACTCCTCTGCAACAGAAGCATCCTCACCCATCAGCTTGTCAGAAACTCAGACTCACAAGCCCCTACTAGGGTCAAAGAATAAGAATCTGCATTCTAGCAGGAGCCCCGGGGAATTTACGTGCCAATAAACTTCAGAAGCACTGCCCTCTGCTGCTGTGGTAACTGAACAGATACAAAGACAGTATTAGCCTCTCCCCACCCCAACTCAGCCACAAACTTAAACCAACCCAATACACAGCTCTGCTTCATGGAGTATCCACTGAATGGCAGACACTGTGCCAAGGGCTCACAAATCATGTGAAACTCATGGTAGCCATGAAGTCAAATGTTAGACAGTTCCTTTACTTAATGAATTGAAATCTACTCCCCTAAAGGAGACTTTACCCTGTTATTCTTAGCCAATATTCAATAAACAATCTTGACTTCTCTCCTGAATACCTGTTCTGCCCTCTAGAGCCCAGCTGTGAGCTGAGGGTTACGTGACTGAATGTGAGGGTCACAAAAACATCAACAACAGTAAAAGGCTTCTAGACACACAACAAAAAGTCAATCTGGTGGTGCTCGCCCATGTCGTGTCCCACAACTTCACCACAGTGTTCGTTCTGAACACTAGCTCGTGCACTTTGCCCTGGGTATGTCACCACGCCTTGCAATGCCACCAAACACTCTGAAACAAGTCGGCTCAGATTCCAGACCACTGCACATTATGAACTCCTGTACACACAGTTTACTGCTCTTACACATGCATAATGATTAGGGAAAACAAAGCCTTTAATATTTTCTTGCCATCATTCTTCAGCATGCAAGTATCAAATTAGTTTATCTTTGAATTGTACTGTGTTACAGTGTTTTAATTTTAAAAACTGCTGTTTGAGTTGTTGACTTGAGTCTCAAAAAACTGTTAAATGAATTCTGGCTTGAAATTAAATCAAAATTTCCAACCATTTCTTTTTTAAGATTTACTTTATTTTACGTGTGTGTGTGTGTGTACATGCATTTGTCCATCTACATGAATATGTGCCTGGGGGTGTGTGCCTGTGGGCATGTGGAGGTCAAATGCAAATGTGAGATGCCCACAGAGCTGGAGTCACAATGTTTCAGGATAGCCAACCTGTTCTGGGTGCTGAAACCCGAGCATCAGTCTTCACAGTTGTGCAATAAGGACTCTTCACTGCTAAGCCATCTCTCTAGCCCCTTCTAACAGTTTCTGAAATGGCCCTTCGCATACGTCTACCACTTTGTACTACGTATTTATATGCAGCACCATTCCCAGAATTGATGATTATAAAATCAAAATATCAATCAACTCTGAAAAGCACTGAAGATGCTGTACATCCTGCAGTACCAAGCATTCAACCAAGATTTATGTCTTTAAATAAAAATAAACAAGCACACCCATCTCATTACTATGCAAATTTGCTTTTGTCTTTAATAAATGGTAAAATTCCATGTATACAAAAGACTTGTTTTAAAGTAAATTTCTTTAGTTTTTTGGAGCTTTTTTAATAGTTTTTTTTTTTTTTTAATTCTTTTATGTGTATGAGTGTACTGCTTGCATGTATATAAGTACATCTGTGTCCTGCAATGCCCGAGGAGGTCAGAAGAGGGTGTCCAATTCCCCCGGAACTGGAGTTACAGATGGTTGTGAGCTGTGGGTGCTAGAAACCCAGGTCCTCTGCAAGTGCTGAGCCAGTGCTCTTAACCACTGCGCCATCTCTCCAGCCCCCTTTTTTTGGTTTTTTTTTTGCGACAAGGTTTTTTGGTTTTGAGACAGCTCCAGCTAGAACACAGAATGTAGACCAAGCTGGCCTTGATCGCACAGAGATCTGCCTGCCTGGAATTAAAGGCATGCACCACCACCCCACCTGACCAGAGGAATCAAAATTAAGCTCTTTTATCTATAATTTCTCTCAAAGTCCCACCCCTCAAACCTCAGTTTTCCAATCACACCTAAGAATGGAAATGCAACAATACAAGTAAATGGCAATAATTGCTGATCCTTTCTGAGTCCTGTGGCTTACAAGTACCCTGCCTCATGTGCCCTCACTAAAGATGACAGTTCCGCAGGCTGCATGTCAAGATTTCTATGCTCACAACCCCACTTAAATCACCCCTGTGATTCCTCTAACATCAAATAATAACTGTCAAGTACATATAAGAAAACAGGGGTCATTTCATTAGAGATTTTTACATGTACATCAAGACATCAGGATAGCTGTTTGGTTGTTTATTTGGAGGTTTCTACATAAACTACCCCATACTGGAAATATGCATTTTCCAGCTCTGAAGGCACAGTTCAAATTAAGGGTAGTCATTTTGGAAAGAAACACGACAAACTCTGTCAGGTCCTCCAAAGTATTTCTACCCTTTGTCACATTAAAAGTTTCTGGGGAAAGGTATCTGAAAATAAATAATACATTTCTATATCCATCCTTTGACCTAGTGATTACGTATCTGGGAGTACAGTCTAAGGAAAGAATCCTAGAGACAGAAAAAGACCTGTATACAAAAACAGTCAATCTAAAACTTGGAATCACGTGAAGCAATTTTTAAGTCCAACAAGAGTTTGGCATTAAATTTCAGTGCACCTGTAAGATGAAAAATGATGCTATGACTTACTAATTGGAAAAAATAGGATAACTGTATTTCAATATAAGTGTGTCCATGCACATAAATACAGAAGAACAATTCTAAAAATGTTCATTACTTATATTGAAAAGACTCAGGGGTTGTTTCTCACTCTCATGCCCAGACCCCACTCTGCAAACCTTGCTGTTCAGAAAAAGCTGTGGACAACACGGGCACTTCTAGCTGTTTCTGCTTTGTTTCTTATGAAAGGAGACCCACATGCCCCTGAAGACAAGAGGCTCCCCTCTGCTAGCTCACGTCACCCTGTCTCCCTCTCCTTCCTCAGCTCTAAATTATAGCCATCCTTCCATGCAGATCTTCCTGTCCCATTCTGGGGGAAGACAGGGAACTGCGCTATAAAGGAAAAGGCTATTCACAGGGAACATCAAATTGAAGTGCAATCTGAAAAATGACTCAGATCTGAATCGGCTGGTATTAAGATTTGAGAGTGGGCAGAGGAAAAAGCCTCTGTTCTCCAAAGGACATAATGGGACATTTAACAGATTTTTTTTTTCAAAGGGCAAATGAACAAACAAAACTCGGCATTTATGGCTCAAATGGAGTTGGGGAAGAACGAGCTGCTTATTAAAAATGCTGCCTCAGAGGAGGCAAGCTGGGAGACTTGTTTCTCCCTAAGTGGCTTGCCGTTGCTCTTGGTTTTCAAAATTATCTGGAGCCCTGGAGGCCAAGATCAATAATAATCCCTGTCTCAAAGAGAGCAGATGGCCAGAGTGCCGCATAAATATAATACCTGCGAGCGGTTCCCACTCAGAAGGTGGGAAGAGACAGCTAACAAACGTTTCCCAAGAAATAATGTGGCCATGAAAGTGAGGCCTGCATCCACCCATTACCCCAGGCTGAGTTAAAGAAAACTCCACCCAGGAAAAGCTGGGTTTGATCCCGAGGGACCCCAGTACAAAAAGACCGTTCTGCACCCATGGTGAGAACTGCTCTGGCTTTGGAAATGCTGCTAATGCTCATATGGAGCCGAGTTCGTCTGGGGCAGAGTCAGGTCAGCCAGGGCTAGAGGAAGCCAACAACATCTCCCTCCCTAGTACAACTTCAGGGTCCTCCCCTGTGCAGAAGGCCTACAAATACAGGAAAAGAGATTGTCACAAAAATCAGCACCAAAGTAATTGGGCCGAGTTATCAGGCAGGATGTACAGACATCTACCTTTGATGTTATGGATGCATCAAGACTGCATCTGTACTACAGACTCTCTAGAGCCATGGCCACTCACCAGATCCCTGTAAGAACACAATGTTTACCTTCTGCAGCATACTCAGAGGTTGGCCACAATCAGGAGTAGTATAGGATATCACAGGAGCAGTATAGAGACATGCCCAGGGTTGAAGGAAGCCTGTGGACAGACCTGCCCAACCAACAGAGCCCTCAAGACTCCCAAAGACCTTCCCTAAACAGACATTGTCTGAAAAAGTTGCAGGGGGTATTGTTTTTGCAATTAGCACACAGCAACATGAACATTCTTCTTACCTCTGTTTGTTTTGTTGATTCAAGTCTGCCATTTCCCTGGAAACTCATGCAGGAGAGATCAAAAATGCTTTTCTTCAGGTGCTGGTTGTCTGTGTACAGTTCCTTCACGAGTTGTATGAGTTCGCTGACCTGGGAGACAAGAGCAGAGAGATAGAGCTCCCATTCTAAGGTGAAGGAGTGCCACCTCTGGGCAGGCTGCCTGATCTGGCCCCAGTTTCCATGTATATAAACGGTTAAAAGAACACAGGTCTATAGAATGAGAAGCCATCGTGATCATGGCCACAGCACACTAAAGGCCTGACACCCAGTCAGCACTCAGTGAACAGCTATTACTGTCTGCCTTATGCCGAAGCCTTCTAGAGGAAAAGAGTTCCCAGAGCTCAAGTTTCTCCAGCTGACAGCAGAGGCTTCCTTCTTTCTACACCTACCTACCAACGTCAGTAATAATGAGTTATCCTTAATAAAGCAATTTCTGGTAATAAAATACTCCAATGAGCTTTACTCAACCATTCCCTGCAAAACTCCTAAGGAGGTGGCCAGGCTAGAGTGCTGATCCTGTCCTAGCTGCCACAGCTGGGGTATCTGGAGAGCTGCATGAGCTAGAATCAGGGCTGAAGTGCCAGATCACCCAAGACAGAGCAGCAGACTCCACAGAAGGCAACAGGTCTAGCATCAGGATGCCTAGGCACCAGCCCGGCACTCCTACTCCAGACACAGGTCTTGTTAGGCCAGGTATACAGGCAACTGAACAGACACACATTGTTTCCTATGAGCTCCAAATCCCAGTGTCTGCTAATTCTTCAAATGCCTCTTAACCTTCAAAGAAAGTGGGAAGTCTATCCTATCCACACATGGTAAATACTCAAGACATCAAAACAGGAATAAAAATTGGATCCAGGGACTGGAGAGATGGCTCAGTCAGTAAAGCACCTGCCACATGAGCACAAGAACCTGGGTTTGGATGATCAGCACCCATCTGTAAAAGCCGGGCACAGGGAAACACATCTCTAACCACAGTACTGGGGGGAGTAGAGGAGACAGGCAGACTCCTAGAGCTCAGTGGCCAGCCAGTCTAGCTAAATCAATGCATTCCAGATGAGTGGAAGACCTATCTCATAAAGTAAGGTGGGGAAGGACAGAGGAAGACAGCCCGTATCAATCTCTGGCCTACATAAGCACGCTGCCCACACAAACACATCCCAACACCAGCCCTCAGGACCCTTAAGGAAGACACAGGGAGAAGAACAGGACAACTGAGTCTATAGACAAATACCGAGTGCCAAGCAAGAGAACCACATGCAGCCCTGACCACAGCCATGATAGGTCCAAGCAGCAGATACGATCATCTTCAGTCTCTCCATCTTCAAAAACTAACCACAGCCTCAAGGATCCTTGGGGAGCTGCTCCCAAAATAACAAATTTTCAAAATAGTTTTCCTTGCCATTTCTTATCTCTTTGCCTCATGTGGGTGGTTTTCTGTTTCTCTGCTGAGAAAACTTTATACCCGCATAAACTCCTATGCATCCTACAAAACACACTTAATATCTCATCATGGTTAAGAAATTTCCCCTGGCCAGAGGCAGGCAGATCTCTGTGAGTTTGAAGCCAGCTTGGTCTACATAGTGAGTTCTAAGTCAATGAGAGCTACAAAGTGAGACCCTATCTCAAAAGAAAAGAAAAAGAAACTTCCCCTAACCAAGGAGGAACATTTTACCTCCCCTCTGCTACCTCTATACATTGTACAGGCCCCTCTTACAGTAACCTCTGCAATCCCTACAACAATATTTATTTGCAAGTGTGCCTCTTCAGACGGAATGGGAATTATCCCATGACAAAACTGAGATCCAGTTCCACATGCATGACAGTTTCACAATGAATCAAAGTTTCCTTTGTGTCCACACTTCCTACTCATTTCAATTTTTTAAAATTTTATTGTTAACTAAAACTTTTTTAAATTTTATTGTTAACTATGAGTACATGTATGTGTCTATGTGTGGTTTATACACCTGGGTGTGGTGCCCATGGAAGCCAGAAGAAAGAGTCAGATCTTCTGGAGCTGGAGTGAGAGGCAATCATACGGTACACAACCAAACTTGGGTCCTCTGGAAGAGCAGCACACACTCTTAACCACTAAGCCATCTCTCCAGCTCCCATACTAACTATTCTTAACAATGTTTGAAAGACAATGTGACTCTAACCATACCACAGGCCTGCTGACTGAAAACCTATTTAAAAGACATAACCATCAGACTTGGAACTACAAAGCCATCTATCAGCTCCTGCTATGCATGCCAGGTCCTGGGACATCAGAAATAAACACGACACAAGGACTACATTTAAGAGGCTTACAGTCTACACCTCTAGACACAAGGAACTAAGCAGTAACTGACCAGCACGGAAGGCTGTCGATCAGGATTGGGTATGGAGAGCTGAATGCAAGAAGGAAAAGTGGCTTGCTCTTGTGGAGGGACAGCCAAGCATCTTCTCATGAGGAGAGCGGGCCTGGGCTGAGGTCTCCAGCCTGGGCTGAGGTCTCCAGCTCAGGCAGCAGATCTACCCTGGGCAGGACCTGCCAGCATCATGCACAGGAGGAGCCACACAGCAAGGTGGAGAGGAGAGGGCAGGCAGGAGAGGAAAAAGGCTTTCAGAACTACAGAGCTCCGAGATCAGGAGCCCAGGAGACAACAACAAGCAGGAAAAGCGGACAGGTCAGGGAAGTACCTTTTTCTTGAGTTCTTCTTGAGAAAAATGCTCTACTTGAAGCTGACTGTGCTCTTCAAGGCAAATACTTAGGTAAGATGTTTGATCACTATAAAATGAAAATGGTTCTTCTGCACAAAGAAAATAAAAAGGTGAAGAGGGGGAGAGAAAAATATCAGAAACAGAGCCTTCCAAGGATGATCCCCATGCCAACAACCTAAAGCAATTGGTAGGGGTAGGGCAGACACACACACGCACGCACGCACGCACATAAACACACAGAGTTGAAAACGTGACCTTTTGGAACTAAGTAATTTCCCTGCTCCATAGGCTGATGTCTCAATGTCTGGTGTAGTTTCTTGGTGGACTGTACGTTTTCACTCTGGCCAATCCTGAATTACAGCTTGCATTACAAGTGCTATACTTGGAGACCATTCTGAATGGCTCGAGTAAATGGTGATTTCAGTTCACATGAGGGAGTTCGTTCTGTTTAGGGGTGAATACATAAAAATTAGATGTGACCCCCAAGAGGTCAAGGGGCATAAATGTATTTTACTGGTCCCAGAGACCTTGTAGAAAGTGAGCATAACCAGATGCGGAAACTGCACATGTGGACAATGCTAGTGTTCCTAAAACAGTGCAGAGCTCCTGACCTCAGAAAATCACATCTGGGTCAGATGACACAAATCAACGACCCACTCCCAGCTCAGCTCACTCAGCATCTTCATCTATACAATGATATTAACATCTCTGACTAACAGTATGTCTCTGGGGAGCAGAGGTGAGAAAGCAAGAGTCTAGCCCTGTGCCCTGTGCACACAAGACTCAAGAAATGCCAACCCACCACCACTATTACCAGTTTTTATGACATGTGCTAGGCACTGACTGAAGATATAGGAAGAAGTCAGACACCAAGCAGACTATAAAGGACCCTCTAGCATAGGAGAGGGTCAAGATGCATGGTGATGGGGACAGCGGTGCCATCCCATGCTTACTAGGCCCTTCTGCTGGGAAGGCTGAAGGCAGGCAGGTAGACTAGGCAGGCCAGGATCAAGTCAAATACCACAGGAGATCCTGTGACCACTTCAATCCCCCATGAAGGAGGCTCCTGCCAGTTCGGCCAAGGCCCTCCATGTGAGGAAACCAAAGAGAAATCCCCAGAAAGGAGCACATACCTTCGCGCCTTCGAATTTCGCTGAGCTGCTCCTGCAGGGCCTTCTGTAGATTCTGGTACGCCAGCACATCCTGCTCCAGCTGATGCCGCAGGGCAAGGACATCCTTTAACTCAGCCTTCAGGTCATTGACACTTGGTAAAACAAGACATGGAAACTATAAAACAGACCTATCTGTGCTTTAAGATGCACAGCCCACCAAGTCTGTGATTTTTATGAGACTATGTTTTTTTCCGGTTATGAAAGTAAATATATGCTTATTATAGGAAAATGCATATACAAAAGTATAGCGAAAACAAAAAATATTTCCTTACATTTATGGAAATTTGGGGCAATGTTTTTAATGAGTACACAATATTAAATCAAGTGAATATTCCACCACTACTCTAACTTACCCCTTATTACTAGGCATTTGGATCCTTCCTAAGTTTTCACTATAGACATAATAGGTAGAAATAGTCTAGTTCTCCAGAATGCTCCGCTGCCTTGGATAATGCCTTGAGAAGGTTTAATGTGTAAGGGGAGGCCCTCTCATCTGATGCCCAGGCTTCAGAAGAGACAGGATTTCTGTTATGTTCCCATCAAAGAGATTACACTGAAGTTAAGGGTGAGAGGCAGGAAGAGAAACACTAAGAAAGAGTGACCTTACAGTAAGACAGAAAGAGACTAAATCAGGGGTCAACAGAACACTGTGGTAATCTACCCAAACGCCAATATGCACAATATGAATGAATTTTTATTCTGGAAGAGGGTGGAGGGTCAGGTTTTGCATGTGGGTCGACGTGCTACAGTGCTGGCTATACAAAGAACTCATTTGGGGGCCTGGAGAGATGGCTCAGTGGTTAAAAGCACTGGCTGTTCTTGCAGAAGACCCAGGTTCAAATCCCAGAACCCACATGGCAGCTAACAGCTGTCTGTAACTCCAGTTCCAGGGGATTCCAACAGCCTCTTCTATCCTCCACAGGCACTGCATGACACGGGCGCACTTACCTACATGCAGGCAATACACACATACACATAAAATAAAAATAATAAATATTTAAAAAAAATAGTAACTCATTTGGAACTAGAAGGCCAGAACCCAGGGAGGCCATGAAAATGCATGCTTCCTAGAGCACTTTAATACTAGGAGCCCTTCCCAACAGAACTGCCTCCGGTGATGGGCATGTTCTATACACTGCCTAATACAGCAGCCAGTAGCTAATGTGCCTACTGAACATCTGAAATGGGGCTTAATGTACCAAGGAGCTGAATGTTTAATGTTATTAAATTGAAAGTAAGTATAAGTTTAAATAACCACATAGCTAATGGCTGCTCTACTAGGCAGTGCAGAGCTACAGAAAGGCTTTGGACTTACTCCCATGTGCAAGTGGTACATGATCGGAAAGACTCAAACCCAGCTCTCAAAGGAGCATGGAGTGCCAGCTGACTCCTGGACAGCATCCACTGTGCCTCACTGCACAGCTGTGGGTCAACTGTGCTGTGTGATTCAGGTGATTTTCTTAAGGCTTCTCAGAAGTGCAGTCAATGGGTCAAACCACATAAGCATTCTTAGGGCAAAACAGAAAGTCTCCTTTATAAACTCTAGAGATAAGATACATCTCTGTTCAGTGTCTGACATACATGGATTTTTATAGAGAGAAGGCTCATAAGCTTTCATCAGATTTTTTCCCAAAGAGGTCCTTAGCCCCAAAGTGCTTAGGAGCCATTGTTGTGATCATGTGTGCCACAGACTCAAGTCCCAATTCTCCTCCACACATTTTTTCCCCGCTCCATCCACAGAACTGCACACATAAATCAACATACACCGGAAGGAAATAAAGCATACTGTCTGATCCTCTATGCTTGCTGTGCTGAGGACGGTTCACTGTAAAGCAGTCTCCATGCAAGGGAAGGGGCCTATGAGAAGCCTGTACTTAGTTCATTTCAAGACAATCAAAAGGATCCATTTGTTCAGCTAACGGAAACCCTTCCAGAGGTGTCACAAGGCAGTACTCGCTTGTGTGTCGCATGCTGCCAAGGCATTTAACCAGGGAAGCAAAGGAGATTGTTTCAGCAAAGGTCCTGTGATTACACTGGGACGAGCTAACTGCTATAGTCCTGCTTCCATTTTCTGACAGGGTGCAAAGCACACAGCTGCTATTCCCTGGTCTGTCATTTATGTCTTCCTAACTCTAGAATCTTTTTAAGGTGTGAGGAGCCAGCAGAACAAAGGTGTGTTGCTCAGAAAGAAAGAAAGAAAAAAAAAAACCCTGTGCACTCTTCTTATTGGAACAGGATGATAGAGGGGACAGTCAGGAACAGAAACACAGAGTCAGAGAGAACCAAGTTCAAAACAGCACAGCACCACTAACTGGCTTGACCCCAGGCTAGTCTGCTAGCTGCATCGGCTGTAAAATGGGATAACACCTTTTGTTAGAGCTTCCTCCTACATTTTGGCACAATGCCCAGGACAAAGCAGACACAGCAAACATCAGTCCCTCCTTCTTCATCCCACAGCAACTCTCATATACAATACTTATGAGCCCATATTTCTGGTTCTTGGAAGTTACAGCATGGATTCTCATCTGGACAGGACTCTTCACCCCAGAAGACATTTGGCAATAACTGGAAGCATTTTTGGTGATCATAACTGCAATGGGAATGGGCAGTGTGCTACTGGCACATGGACAGAACCAGTGACCTTGCTAAAATCCTACAGCACACAGGATAGCCCCCTGTGACAGATATATGGATAGATGATTGATGGACAGACATAGAGACAGACTTAGAGACATTGCCCCAAATATCCTAATAACTGTTAAGGCTGAGCAACTGAGTTGCAAGAGGGACACAGCGAACTCCTGCCCTCTGAATGAAGGTGCATCAGTCCAGGGTCTCAGCTCAGAAGCCTAGGAGGCCTGAGCTCTGATTACTGTTCACAGTAGGCCACTACAGACTATGGCAGGAGGTAGGCCCTCAACATCCTCAAGAACATTTTCTACTTCTGCAGTTTGGGGCTAAAGTCACCAACTACTGAGCATCCTCAGGAAGGTAAGCGATCAGGCTCATGGCAGTCCACTCCTCCCTTTCCATTTTAATTACAAGTACATCTTGTGTCTCTGGTCACTGCCTTTACTGTAAGTTTCCAGAATGAGAGGGCTGGAGTTGGGGAAGCTTTTTGTGTTGTTATTCCTAGTAAGTGTTGCTGTTTACTAAGAGCTTCCTGAATTCCAGGCAGTATTAGAATTTATACAGTATCAGTCCCTATATCAAAACCCTTTATCTACCTGTTAAGGCAGGTAGAAAGGAGGTGGGTAGGGAAGTAATTAGATAGGTAAGTTAGAAAACTAAGTTGGGAAGTGGGCAAAGTGGAGGGGGTGCGTTGGAAAGTAAGAGAATAGAAAGGAGGGAGGGAGACTAAACAGTAGAGCACAGACATGAGTCAGGAGGTAGCTGGGGTTAGGTAGGGAAGAAGGTCTGCCATCTCCATCTTTCGCAATACTGAGGCTCAGAGTGAGAAATGGAACCCACAGGCTCAGTACTGCTCTATGCCAGAGCTGATGTGGACCCAGGTCTGTCTTTCCCAGATATACCAGAAGCCTGCAGATGAACAGCATCCTGGTTACTCACAGCCCTGACCCACTGGAGTCTCATCCATGTTTTCATTCATTAGGAAAAAGTGCAGTGAAACTCGGAGACATTCAGGTGCTGAGAGCACTTGAGACAACTGCATCCACCCACAGCAACTCTCAGAGCCCAGCCTCTAGCCTGGCTCCCTCCCAGAGATGCTGTGCAATTAAAGCAAAATTTGTTCTCTTCCCTCGGAGTTTCCCCACTTGACTGCATGTCCTCCCCAATGAAATGGCCGGCAGCTGAGGCTTCCTGAGAAAGCTCTTTTGGAGATGCAGCTATGTCCAGAGTTTCATCAGCATGTTTGGGTTTTCTCTAAACTCATTTCAGATCTGAAATCTGGAAATTAACTTAGACGATCAGGGCTGGGGGAGGGGCATTCCTGCACACAGCACTCCCCCAGTGCCTGCTCTGCCAGTTCTGGCAGCTGGAGCTTGCAGATGCTCCTGCCCTGAGAGAAGTAGGGAACAGGAAGGGACACAGAGGACAACTAACCTGGGGAGCAGCTAGGCCTCCTGACAGGGTAACACTCAGGCTCATTCTGAAGGAGTGGTGGGAGACAAAGCAGGGGAGGGCTGGACCGGCAAGGTAGGAAACAGGTGAGAGCAGAGGCAGACACACACAGCCCAGGAAACTGTCAAGAGTTTGGTATAGCAAGAGCAAGGGGCATAGGCGAGGGGGGAGTGAGGGTGATGCTTTTTAACTTTTTATTATGGAAATTTGCTGATACATTCAGAGAAAGGCCGACTAATGAATCCCTTTCCCCACCTCTCCACGGCCCAGCCTAACAGCCAGGGACTGGGCCAGTCTTCTATCCCACCACGTCCTCTGCTTCTCAACCGCTTTAAAATGAATCCTAACATCACAACCTTTCAGTTGTAACTATCCCAAGTAAAGACGTAAACCCTGCATTTACAGATGTACAAAGAGAGCTCAGGACAGATCACCTACCTGTAGACATAACTAGAGCTACAGGGTAGGAGGACGAGACTCCACCATGGGCGCAGCTGGCCACCGCTGGCTCTCCTCACCACCCTCACTGGCATCAAATCATTTCAGCAATTCCACAGATATGAGGTCACTCCAAGACAGGGAGACTTGGCTGGGCCTCAGAGTTCTAGCAAGACCCATGAGACAGGTCACTTGACTTGGTTTTGTGGGCCAGCTGAGATAGGGATAGGATGGCATTATTATTTACCTCACAGAACACATGTGAGCTGCGGCTAAGAGAATACACACAGAATAACCTCCTAGATACATAATGAAGTACTTAAAAATCTGAGTAAATATTCTATTTTTATGCTAATTTTGTTGCCCCAAATCGGGCAATTCTTGACAGAAAACAATCTGGTCGCACAAGGCAAACCTGATCTAAGTTCTCTGAAGGCTTGTTCAGCAAGCTTGCCCAGAAAGCACTATCAATAACCAGGGAGCACATGTGTGTGCACATGTGGAATCCAAAGAGAAACTCTTACCTGTCTGAATGCTGCAGAGACTTCAGCAGATGGGCATAGATGCTCTGCTCCTTTTTTAAGGCCTGAGTCAGTACCTCACAGTCTGATTGTTGCTTTTCCTGGAAATGGCAATGGACATCTGACATTAGGGGCAGAAGCCAAGGAGTACAGGCTGCTATTATGCAAGCACATGTGGCTAGCTCTGGATTTTTAAAACCACAAAACTGTGAGGGTCCTGAGCTAGGCTCCAGCAACAGTCACACAGCACCACCTGCAGGAAGAGTGGGGAATGACGCCCTCCTGGTGGCTGTGGTGTATGTTCTACAAAGGCCCATCAAGGCTGGTGGGTGCTATTGGGAGCTGCTGGAACCTTTGAGAGGCAGGCTTGGTGGAAGTTACTCAGGACACTGAGTGCACCCTCAAGAGGCACTGTGGGACCCTAGCCCTTCCCTGTTTCTCTGTTTTCCTTCCTAGATCTGAAGGGGGGGTGCTCTCCCAGGTACTACTTTTCATTCCCCTCCCACTGGAAGCCCAATACAATGGGTCAGCTCCTTGGACTGGAACCTCCAAAACTATATGCTAAAGCAAAGCTTTTCTCTCCATAAATTAATTATCTTGGGTATTTCATTGCAGTGAAATGACGCTAACTAATACCCAACACTAACCCAAGACCCAGGCTCCCAACACTCATGAATTACTATGAAACATCCTCAGTCACCTGATTCACCCATCATAAAACTGTTGCCCCCTAGCGCTGCTGAACACTGACTGCATAACACTCTAAGGAATGCCTTGCCATGAGAATGCTCCACAGCAGAGCAATTCATAAACAAAAGGATAGAAGGGGTCAAATGAGTGGCACCTAGAAGACATCCAGAACAGAGTGATGACAGAGGTAGGGTTGGACCTCTGCCATTTATTAGTGCTATGGCCTTGGGGAAGCAGCTCAAACCACCCCATGAGGCTCAGCCCCTCTTTTATGAAATAGGGATACAATTTTGTGAATCAGCATTCACAGATGTGATTCTCCTTCAAGTTCAAATTCTGGTCTAGTCACACAGCATTTTGGGGATTTGGAAAGTTACTCACTAGTAGCTTTGGTATTCCCGCCAATAAAACAAAAGACAGTAACTACCACCGTATGGAATTACAGAGCAGAGTAAGCAAGATAAAGTACATTAAACCTGGGACATCCGGAAAAGTGGTTAACACTAGTACTAGGACAAACGAAAGCAAAGACAATAAAAAGATGTGTCTCCAGCATTCCACTGTACCAGAAAATATGCTTAAAGATTTGAGTAGTGCTTTCCAGGGACTTTGGGGAGAGAAAGAGACAGAGTTTCAAGTCAACGAACAAGGTCCTGGACATGTAATACACAGCATGCTGACCAAGGTGAACAGCAGTGCACCATATACTTGACATCTGTTCATCACCAAAAGAAAGAAAAAGATGGCAGTGTGGGATGGTGGCTGTACTAGTCAGTTTGATCATTGTGCTGGATAGCTTCAGTTATCAACGTGATACACCTGGGCCAAGGGAACCTCAACTGAGGAACTGTTTCCATTGGACTGGCCTGTGGCCACGTCTGTAGGGCATTTTCTTGATTACTGAGTGATGTAGGAGGGCTCAGCCCACTGTGGGCAGTGCCACCCTGAGTAGGTGGTCCTGTGTTGTATAAGAAAGAAGGCTGGGGGCTGGGGAGATAGCTTAGCGGTTAAGAACACTGACTGCTCTTGCACAGGACCCAGGTTCAATTCCCAGAACCTACATAGCGGCTACAAACCGTCCTTGACTCCAATTCCAGAGGAATCTGAAGCCCTCTTCTGACCTCTGCAGCACTGCACAACACGGGTGCACTCACATACATGCAGGCAGCACACTCGTACGCATAAAATAAAAATTATATATAGTGTTTAAAAAAAAAAAAAAAGGAAGAAAGCAGGCTGAGCACAGACCAGGGAAGCAAACAAGTAGGCAGTGTTCCTCCAGATCTGTGCTTAAACTCCTGCCTATAGGTTCCTGCTCTTGAGTTCCTGCCCTGACTTCCCTCAGTGATAAACTGTGACCCAAGAGCTATTCTCTCCAAGTTAGTTTTGCTCAGTGTTTCTGTCATAGCAATAGAAAGTAACCTAACAATTATTCACAATGTCTGTCAAAACATTAAACTGTATACTTTACATATATACACACATATAAATATGTATGTACATATGTATGTGTGCATGCATGTATGTGACACTGAGGGTTGAACCCGGAGTTCTGTGCATGGTAGGTAAACACTACCAGTGAAGTACATCATCAGTCCACAAAACATAACTTTTATATGTCAATTATAATCCAAAAGAGCTAAAAATAATAGTTAAAAACAAATCAATGCCTAAATAATGATGAACTGTTGTCCAAAGAACACAAAGGCCACTTTTAAAAGCTCTCAACAGCCAAATTAAGACAATTTTAGCATCAAAATAAAGACAGTGTCTGATTATAGTCCACTGAATAAGACAGGAATTCATCAAATCCAAAGTGATACAGATATGATACAAGAGGCTTTGATTTTTTATTATTATATTTATTTTATGTGTATGAGCATACTCCTGCATGTGTGCAGGTGCATCCATGTCATGCAATGCCCATGGCTAGGTCAGAAGAGGGCATCAGATCCCCTGGAACTAGAATTGAGATGGTTGTTAGCCACCATGTGGGTGCTGGGAATCGAACGTCTGCAAGAGCAGCCAGCATTCCCAACCACTGAGCCATCTCTCCAGCGCTGAACAGACTTTTCTTTACAGTAAAATGTAACTAATAAATGTACAAAGGACGATGAAATTAGAAAACAGGACTATATGGCAAGCACCATAGTAATAAACAATTCAGCCAAGAAATATAAAAGGATGAGAAACCAGTGGGTGGATGTTTGAAGACCAGGATATTTACAAACTCAAAATACTTTGCCCAAAATACTTCTTTAGTCCATAGGAAAAAAGAGTAACTGGACACTCAAGACTTCTGAAGATACGGTCTTTGTAAACTTGTCAAAGCCAGAACGGGTAGTAACTAGACACACGGAAACCATGTGCCATGGAAGAAGGTGCAGCAGAACACGGTATCGCCACCAATCCTAAGCCCATGCCAAGGACACACCAGAGACATCACACAAATCCAAACTGAAGGGCATCCTATAACATAACTGGCCTGACACTTCAAGGATCCAGGTCATAAGACTAAAAAAATCAAGACTGGAAAGCTCAAGACGTGATCCTGAATTGGGCCCTTTTTGCCCGATTCCTGAGACAGCTGATGAAACTTGAATGCGCTAAAGAGTTGAAGGCAGCGAGGAGTCTGGGCTAATTTTCTGCTCATGGTGGGTTGGTAGCTGGGATGAATGTCTGTTTACAGGAAACATACCTGAAAGGACTCAGAGGTGACAGACTTCACAGGGGCAACTTTCCCTGGGATGACTCAGAAAAGTAAAACCCTTGATTCTTATGGCTTTCTTATGAATTTCAAATGATCTCAACATAAAAAATAGATGTCAAAATGACCGAGGTCAGTGTGGACAGCATAGCTACACTGTCATATGGAGTGGGGTGCTGTCCAAATGCTGAAGAAAGCATGCCGCTAGCGAGAGGAGGGCTGCACAGAGTTCTGCAGGTCACAGAGATTGCCATTCCCTCCTGAAGTTACCACAGCAGCTAGGACAGGGGTTCTCAGCCTCACTAAAATACAGGGGCTGCATGAATGTGAACAGAAAAAAAAAAACAGCTACACCTTTGTCTATAAACTTGTGAAAGCTAGCATGTGTGCCACAGCAAACTACCCTGATCCAGGAGAAAACTGCTGTGCTTCCAATACTGACAGATGAAGGCCAGGGCACTCCCTGTGCAACACTAAACCAGCAGGCTTGGCCTGAGCAATATCCAGCCCTTCTGTAAACCATGCCACGTGCCAGTGGCCCAGGGCCTCCAACATGTTTTTGCATAGAGCAGTGTTTAATGGGGTTCTCTTTAGCTCCCATCTGCACACAAGTACCTGTGCAGCCACAGCACCCTAAGGATGGAGACTAACTAGAAAGCACATCGAGACAAAGGAGGCCACCAAGTCCTTGGGGTTCTCACCGTATCCTGCCTCGTGGTACACAATTTCCACATGCCCTGTTCCTTGCCATTCTGACTTTGATGGGTTTGCCATGCCAAATGCTCTCACTGAATCTTAGTGGCAACCTATATGTGGAGGTGACATCTGCCTCCCCATTCTAGACATGAAGAAACAATGCTAGAGAGATGGTTCAGTGGTTAGGGCACTGACTGCTCTTGCAAAAGACTCAGGTTTGATTCCCAGCAACCACATGGTGGCTAACAACCATCCATAACTCCAGTTCCAGGGGACCCAATGCTTTCTTCTGACTCCACGGGCATTGCATGACAAGGTGCACTTTCACACATGCAGGCAATACACTCACACATAAAATAAAAATAATAAAGAAAAAAAGAAAAAGAAAAAAAAAAGAAAAGAAAAGAAACTGAATGCCGAGGGTGATCACACCCAAGGTCAGGACCATGAAGCAAGGCCAGCCCTCCACGTCTGCTCCTCACCCCACTCATCACTGCCCCATAATGGTACCAAGCACTGAGTGCTTGACAAGGCTAACATGGTTACTGTCAGATACACAAAGCCAGCCAAAGAAGGTAAGAGAAGTCAGTGACAGAAGGAGAAAACCTCCTGCACAGCACCCGACCTGAAAGCTGATGATGGTTGTGAGTGACCCTACTGACCATGTGACCGTGAACAAGACTCAAGCTCTCTGTACTCAATGTCCTCCCCTATAAATGGAGCTAAGAAATCTATACATTCCAAGGGGCTAAAAACATTAAATGAACTAATCTACCCAAAGCTCTCAGAATGGTGCCCAGCATGGGGTGAACACTTGGTGTCAGCTCTAAGTAGCATTTCAATGCTCTGGGTGTTGTGCTAGGTAATTTACAGATATCCTGTATAGTCACATCACTATAGAAAATTATATTAATTTTCCCATTTTTCAGATGTATTTTGAATCCCCTCAAATTATTAATATAGTTAGAATGTGTGCTTGTATGTAAGTTCAAAGCTAACCAAGAAGGGCTAGAAAACAGGAGCAGTAAATGTGAAATTCTGGTGAATGGAGAGAATCTCAGTATGCCAGGCTCTAAGCCCTAGGGGAGGACTCTGCCGTGCCAGGGCCCCGACATCCAGCCCAGCTCCTCTCTCCTCTCCTTCCTGGCAGCTACTCCAGCCCTTCACCAGGGACTTCAGGCCAACACTCTCCTCGGCTCCTACCCTCATCCCTTATGTCTGTTTTCTGTCAAGGACAGTGGGAAATCCCTCCCACTCCTCGGAGAGCCTCAGAGACTGAGGGACATCATCTACAACTGCTCAGTGACACTCCAGTGCACATCATGGGCCTCTCTCTCTAAGGAAGACACCCTCCTCCAGCCCCAGAGCATCCACTCACCTTCAACCAGAGTCGGTGTGCCAACCACCTGTTCCTAGTCTGAGCAACGCAAGCAGTGGTGTCCTAAACCAGGCCTGGTGTCTGGCACAAATCAAATCCTGCCACAAACACTTGCTGAACTGATGATTAAATAGGTAAGAGGGAAATACAGGGACTGATATGAATCTTAAGAGCAGAGATTCCTGTGGATATTTTGCATAATGGAAGTCAGAGTGAGTCAATGTCTTCCTAGAAGCAAATTGCTCACCCATGTTAAATAAATGAACTCTTTGAAGCCATTTGCGTCCCATTTCATCAATCACCTATTCCCTTGCGTTGACACTCACGCCCCATTAGAATGAAGTCATTTGGCTCCCTCAGCAGAGCTGACAGCCAGTAGATCTCCTTGGCACCGGAGAGGCCTAGGCTGCCCAGGGCTAGGGGGCAGTGAGACTCACCTGCTCAGCAGGTGCCATCAACCCCCTCCACCAGCCCCTCCAAACAAGAAACAGCCCAATAGCAAGTCTCTTAGCACAGGGACTTGACACTGCCACCCATCTACTGTGTGTCTGGCTCTGCTTCTCCACAGCCCTAGGAGTAATCACCCTGTTCACCACTGTTCCCCTGCATAATGTGCAAAAGTCCCTGAAACACAAGAGCAAGTCCCAGAAAGACACCACTCCCATGTCAGACCCTGGGCCCATGCTAAACCAGCACAATTCTCTCCTGAGAATTCCAAGACGTAGACATCCTGGAATGGCTGGGTCTATATCATGTCAAAGACAGAGCCCAGAGGACAGGACTTCTCTCCTCAAAGTCCATGACCCTGCCACAGTTTCCCCAGAGCCTCCTGCCTAGCACCTGTGAGAGTTTGTTCCAGTCAAGTCTGACCTTCATGACTTACTCTAGGCTGGCCTCTGTAGGCTGCAACTCAGAGGATTTTAACTGCTACACCTCCATTATTCCTAATCCTCTCAGAAGGACAGCTTGTAATTCCCCACCTCAAAGATAGGAAGGCCTATTTCAGAGAGATTTAGTGACTTGTTAAAGGTCACAGGAATTGTAGGTGGCAGGACTGGTATTCTGTTCCCAAAGCAGGGCCACTTTCTGGTCTGCCACAGCTTCCTTAACGGCTTGAAGGAAACATATGTACCGTGCAGACCACAATCTGAAGAGGCAGCACACGTAAAGAGAAAGCTTAATGCATCACTTCCTGCTAATCGGGGCAATTTAGCGGGCTGGTGTACAGAGGGGGCCTACTTCAGCAGCTGTGTCACAGTCCTGCAACAAAGACATTTATTTTAATACTCACAAAATTCAGCTGCATAACCCAACCATATCAACAAGCAAGTTAGAAATCTCGGCGGCAGGAAGTCCCATTCGGCCAGTGTGATTCACGCACTCGTCTCTGTCTCACTGATTAATTCTCAGGATCACACAGCGATTAGCAGGAAAGCAGACTGCCCAGAGCCTATGGAGACAGCATCACAGCCTCGAGCTCTTGCAGAAAGAGGTAGAGGATAAGTCCTCTATCAACACAAAATAGCCAAGGGCACAGCAGAAGAAATTCACATTTTCTACACAGAAAGCACTACAAAAGCAAAGCTTTCTTAGGGGAATAGACCAAACCCGTAAGGTTGCAATGGGCTGGGATTTCTTAAACTGACACCTAGAAAGTTCTAATTCTTTATCCACAATTTACAATAAACCTTGTACAGCAGAATTAAAGCCTTTGCCAAAATACTTCAGCATTTTGCATGGTAATTTAAACATCACCAAGATATAGCTATTACCAAATGCCCATGCAATGGCTTCATACATGGTTCTAACATATGCCTCAGCACACATGCAAGGACACACGCAGGGACAAACACACACACACACACACACACACACACACACAGTCAAACGTTTTTTAAAAGGTACAGTTACAATTATTAAACTTACAAATACTCTAAACCAGCTTTGTAAGTTTATAAACATTTTGCTCAATGAACTTTTATACACAACTAAAATGCTATTCAAAACAGGAAAATTTAACTAAATGTATGCAAATCAATGAAGATGTGTCTTTTTAAACTACTTGACACATCTCTAATTTCAAAACAGATTGCCTTATTACAGCTAACATGCATCTTAGCAATCCTACTAACTTTGGTCT